TCTTATTTGGTCTTAGACAAGTCCCTACTTGAAGACTTCAAGTTTTCGTTCTTGGTAGGGAAATTGGTGCAGCTGCAACACTGTGAGTACTTCATGGAACTGGTTCAATAAGCTGTTCTGTCAGATGCTGCACAGAGTAGTCCAGTTGTTAGTCATTTTTTGTACATAGGAAGAGCTCCAGGTATAGTAAATCATTCTTGGCCTCTGCAAATATACAAGCACATATATTGTAAACTGTTTTAAAGTTCCTCAACTGTTTCCACCTATCACTGCTTAGATAGGATCTTCCACGTTTCACCCACTAAGTAAACTTTAAAAAGTCTGACCCTCTTTTGTCCCGTGAAATCTGATCTACCTATCACCATCAAGGGACATCTGGGATTCATCTTATCTTTTCCAGTGGATTGTTGATTAATGGAAATTGCTTTGAATGGGATTCAAACATGGCAAAACTCCAGGGACCTTATGAATTACAATAGGGTAAAATAGGAGGTCAAGTTTAAAAAAAAAAAAAAAAAGAAAATCGATGTGAAGAAGAAAATGAAGCCATAATAATATGGACCACATTACATGCCTGAGAAGTGAGGATGAAACTCCTGTGTATATTTTAAAATGGGTTTCACAGATCAAAGGGGTTTCTGATCACCTTTAAAATTATATATATATTCATTGCTGTACAGGAAATCTTGACCTGATGGGATGAATAGGGATTGTAGGTATCCAGCGCAGACTCAGTGTTTCAGTAATATCTCATGAACCTTTGTGAGCTAAAAGCCATAAAAGACCCACCTAGGACTCACAGAATTAAAGGAGGAACAGTTGTTTCCTGTTCACTGAAATTTTTTCATCCCTGAAAGGTCTTCATGAATAGGAAGTTTGAAGATAAATGGATGTAGATTAAACTTTCAAGTTTATTAGTTCTTCCTGATTCTTCAGCAAGTGCAATGGCAACAGTTCTTCATATCTGCAGGGGCCCATAGATATTTTCTAAAAGAAAACAAAACTGTTAAGACTTGGCTATAGCACCAAAATTGGAATAACCTGAAGCAGGACTGTAGTAGTTTTAAGGCCAGATATGAGGGCTGCCCCATGCTGCAGGCCAAACACAGGCCACGCAGATGCGGTTAGCTAAATTCCTCACAGAACCGCGTAGCCCATGCAGAGATGCACTGCCTCGTGCCCACTGCCACACTGACTTGGCCCGTGGCTTCTGGCTGTCTCAGAGTGCCTGTCAATCTGCTGTGCAGGTAGACGAGCTGTGTAAGAAGCTGTTACACAGCTCCCAGAATCAGACCCTGGGCTGGACCAGTGTTTAACTTCACTTAGGCCAATGGAGCAGTGCTAGCTGGTAGCCATAGAGGGTCCCCTTTCCCTAAACCATCATGCAAGTACCAAAAGCAGGCTGATCTTTTTCAAGAAAACTTTTTGGAGTTAGTCTATAGTTTCTCTTGTCCAGGAACCAGCAGAAATAAGGCGCAGCAAGACTGCCTCAGAAAAGCAAGTGGCCTTGTCTAAAGGTGTGCAAAGTATTTTGAAGAAAATAGCAATTTACTTGAAAATATATGCAAAAAACCCCACTGGTTTTACCTTATCTTCTGCTTCAGCAAATAGAATACTTATTTATAGGCTGAGAACTTATATCGAGCTTTGATCATATGTTTGCACAAATGTCAGCACAAAGAGGCTCTGATCTCCACTGACATATAATACAAACGAAAAATAGTAAATTTAAGTTGAAAAAAAAGTGGATGTGCTAGGTTTTGTGCAGTTCCTATATTTTCAGGCTCAGTGACATCCTTCTAAAAATGAGAAATGTTCAGAATTCAGACCACAGATTTTCTCAACACTGTCCATTTGTGCATAAAAAAATATTATACAGCTTGTGTAGGTATTATACATGAACATGCAAGTACTTGTGCTTTTTTAAGCAGAAGAAAAGATTCTTCCTGAGGGAAAAACATCTCCAATGCCTTCAGGTAAATTTAGGATTCAGGATTTCAGCAGGAGAAAAGTTTCTGCACCAGGCTGTAACCCTTTTTCACATCTTTGTGCCAAGAATAAGTATGTATGTCTGTGTTTCTGACTGCTTGCATATATTCTTAATTGATTCAAGTTTCACATGAAAACTTTTTTAAACACAAGCTCTGCTGTGTTTAAATCCATTGTTTTATTTTGACCACATTATCAAAGATTGGAAGTATTTAACATCAGTCCTGGTCACCTGCTGTGTCCTGAAGGCTTGTTATGTTGAGGAATGTTTTTTATTTCTTTGATTAAGAAGTAAAGTCCAACACAACAAACATAGTATTGAGTTCTGTACAAAGCAGGATTATGAATTCTATGTGTCGTGTGCTTTATTGGGCCTTTTTCTCTTTGTAAAAATAAAGTTGTTACAAGCCAGGAAGTTCTGAAGGTAGAGCCAAGCTTGAGCCAAGCTAGAGAGCCGGGTTGGATTTCTGCAACCGAGCCTTGGCTGGGTATCTGCCAAACCAATAGACCTGACTGTATTCATTTACAGACAGAAAAATTCACAGAAGGGTAGGCACCAGAAGATTTTGTGGTAGGAAATAAGGCCACTGTGTTCTTCTTTTCTTGTTTGAAAATAGAACTAAAGCAGATCTTGGGTCAAGCTGTAACTATCTTATTGTTCATCCTTTGTATAAGAGCAGACCATAAAGACCACTTTTTTCTCTAATTACAGAGCTGTAGAGGAATAATGAATTCCCCACATATTTTTCGTCTTGCTTCAGTGTCCAAAATTTGTCTTGTATCAAAAGTTTGCCCAGATCATAAAAAGACCCTGATTGCCCCTCAGATTTTCTTTATATTTTAAAATCAAACTGAAATACTTGCAACATTTTCTTTTAATCTTCTGTATTATATTGATAGAAAAACTGAGTTCTCCAGCAGTAAAATACCAGTTACAGGCTTCGACTTTCAACAAGGAAAAACGAGCTCTGGGTTATTACTCTTTGATATATATTTCTCTAAAGTTAGATTTAACCCACATCATTTTTTCTCTTATGCCTTACTCCTTTGAACCTTTTGTAACAGGAAAACTATTGCCTCCTACTTAGATCACAGAACTTTTGACTGGGGTTTGACACTTTAATTTTGGGGTGCATCAGACTTGAACACCAAGTGAATTAATTGATAATTTCCTCAAGTGGGACAAAGAAAATTAGATTACAATCTGCGGCTAAGGCCACAGCTTGTATGTGTGTATAGTCCACAACAAAAAAAGGTTTAAAATGTTGCGACCCAAGATTATTCAACATTCAAATAAAATAGTCATAATCACATTCCAACAGTGAATGAGAGGCCAGAAGGGCTAACCTGGGTTCAGGCCAAGGGCTTAGAAATGACAAATTCATAGCCAAGACTGTGCCGTGTTCCTTTGAGAGGAGATTTGAAAGCTTAGCTTTTAACACAGATTTTATTTTATATTTTAATAATAAAAAATGATCCATTCATGTCACAAAGTGACATGCAGCCTCCATGTCTTTCATATCTAAAGCTGTAATGGCTTGCCCTTTTAAAAAAAATGCAGAAAACTGTTAGTGAATAAATGGGATAAGAATAGACCTGAGAAACATAGGTGATGATTTAAATCTAAGAAGAGATACTTTCCCTCGACAGCAATACTGGGAGCATAAGAAGTCTGGGAATAAGCCAGACTTATTGTCAGTAATGATTGTCTAATAGGAAGAAGTAGTTTGAGGGGAAACAGAAGATACAAATATCCTGTAAGTATATTGTCTAGTTATGTGATTGTGCGTACATAAAAACTTTTCATACCAAGCCTGCCATCAACACGTAGGATTGTCTATGATTTAGGATTTAAAAAATGTTATAGTCCTCAAGCAGAAGGGGAGCAACTGTTCATGTCATCTGGTATTTTACCAGATATCATCCAGGAGCAGATCTCCTTATGGCCGTAAGGTGGAGGACTCCAGGGTCTTAATAGTCTGAGGTAGTCATTCTGCCAATGTTTGCTTTTTTTTTTTTTGTCTCAGTTCTTATGATGTTTAGTGTTTTTTGTAAAGCTTAGCTCCAGCATTCCTGTAATTATGCTAGAAATTCAAGTTACTTCTAAGAAAACCCTAGTGAATCCCTAGCTTTTGTGGTTGCTTGCAAAAGAAGACTTCAAATATCATTCTTCAAGGATCAAATACTGGAAAGGAAACAAAAAGAACTCATGTTTATTTTGCCTGAAGACTCATGATTTTAAAGCTCTTCTTGTTCTCTTGAGAACCTGTCTAATGATCTTCTGTGCTAAGTAGCAGCAAGAAAATATATGTGGGTAAGAAAAGACTAAAAATCTTGTCACCAATGTACTTTATGTAGTAGGAGTGGTCTTTGGTTTTTATATTGGTAGACTGACTTCAGAGTTAGATTTATATGACTCACAAATCTCCTGAAGGAATAAAAAAAAGGGGTTTTTTTTAAGATCTTCTCAGTTGGAAGTCCCTAATTATGTGAGCTATGAAATCTTAGCTTAAAGAAATGCAAATATGTATCAAATGTTTCTGATTCATTTTGCCCCAGCAATTGATTTATGTCACTGAGGCAAAAAGAAAAGCTAGTGGCAAGAGCTTAAATAAAGAACCGAATCACATAGTTCTTTTTTCTCTCTCCTCAAACAAAGGGTAAAACCTGTCTGGAACAGAGTGGCTGTGCACACATGTTTCTCCATATATATGCACAAGTAGAATGAGTTCCAGCAAGAGCATGGTGACCCTCTTTTGCTTAACCACAAGGCTGTGGTGAAGACATGTACAGTGCATTTCTTATTTCCCATTTACATATGGTCTTGGTGCTCTTTCAGTACTTTCATGGAAAAAAGAAAGAAAGGTATAATCATCTATTGAATTATGTGTGTTTTTTGTCTGAGCAGAAACTGTCTCCATCTGGCAGCTGTGGAACACTGCCAGCTGCATGATACTGCAACTGGCGGTCCTGAAGAGGCCTGCTGATCTTCTCCTCCTCCTTTTCTGCAGGACTGCCCACCAGAAGCAGGTGATTTTCGTGCCCAGCAGTGCTCTGCTCACAACGATGTCAAGTACCAAGGGCAGTTGTATGAGTGGCTCCCCGTCTCTAATGACCCTGACAACCCGTGCTCACTCAAGTGCCAAGCCAGAGGAACGGCTCTGGTTGTGGAGCTGGCGCCAAAAGTTCTGGATGGGACACGGTGCTACACTGAATCCCTGGACATGTGCATCAGTGGTTTGTGCCAAGTAAGGAAAGAAGCCCTGCCTCAGCCCCTCTCCTCATGACTCCCCTCCTCAGATCTCTCTCACATGCTCACTCCCTCTCTTCCTCCATACTTGTGTAATTTTAGGGTCTTTATTTTATTAATCTGTTTCAGATTTCTTTTACTGTTGGGTTTTGGCGGTTTTTTGGAGGGGGTGGAAGGGGGAGACATGTATAATCTCAAATATTATTTTCTCACTTTATGCTGCTCCCTTGGGGTTCTTTTGAAGGATTTTATTATGCTTTTGAACTGTTCTCTGTAGCTGCAGTAGCATATTTGATTTGAAGCACCAAGTATAAAGTAATGTTGTAGCTTTTAACTTAGATACATCAAAGTTTTCAAGGTCTATCAATCAAATTGCATTACCTTTGAGGATTATTGCTCCCTGTTAATCAGAAACCTGTAAGGCAGTAGATGAGGCACGAAAGTGAAAAATACTGCCATTTTTCCTGTAGGACTAAGCAAGCTGCTACATCTCCTTGGATGTTAGCATTCCTTATTTGTTACCAATGAAAATTTGTAACAAATGGGGACTTTTAGACCCTTCCCTTCACAGTGTGTGGAGATCTCTTGGTCATTCAATCAATTTATTTGCATTCTAATTTGGTTTTTTATGACTTTGGTGCTTTTATTTATACACTGATACTCTATCATTGCTTCTGTTAAATTACTTGCTCTATCTACATCAGACTTTATTCTTCTAAACTACATGTAGGCTGCTGGTTGATGAAGACGAGGACTTTCACCATCGCTGTTAGGTTCTGAGCACACCTAAGTCTCAAAAACAGTTGAGTGTAGATTCATGTTTCATTGCACAGTGACCGTAAAATCTATGTAAACTTGATGTGTTGTTGGCTTTCTAGTTGGCTTTCAACTGCTTTTTTTTGGGCGGGGGGGGGGGAAGCTTTCCTCTCTATTTCTTTTCCCTTTTATTTTCTTTTCTGAGCAAGAAGCAGTCCTTAAGTAAATGAAATAGAGTGGATAGTTCCTGGATTAGTCTCATTTGTGATCTGAAGAAGGCAATCATCTCAACCTCTTGACCAAAACCCAAGGGCAAGCATCTCAAATTTCTAGATTGCCGAATGAAACAGGCTATTTTTAGTCCTGTTTTCTGTTTTCAAATCTTTGAAAAACTTGACTGGAAGCACAAAAATCTGGATGGGAAAAAGATTCAAAGCTTTTTGCATATAGTGGCCTAGGATTTACAAGCAGGCTGATTTCTGGCTTAGTCCAAATATGAAGCATACTTGTTCTCATTAAAACTTTCCCTTAGAAACAGAGTTCCCAAGCATCTGAAACAAACTCATTTGCATTCTCATGACATTCTTACTTGGAAATCTGAAGGTAACTGCACTGCTAAACTATAAACACTGATATTGTTTCTCTGTGGCTTGAGAATAGATATAATATACTAGTAGTAGTAGTGTCCCTGTGTAATTTTAGTTAAACTAACTCTTTTCTTATGCACCCTAAAATGGTAGTGTAATTTTTAATGCATAAATGACTTTATAGTTGCCATGTTCTTCAACAGTCAGTTTCTTCAACCAATTTGCCATATATTTACAATTACCGCATTATTGAGGATAACCAAAAAAAATTAAACTATGAAAGCTTATGCTGTATTCCTCACAGTGAAAAATGGGTGTTTTAAATTTAAATCAACTCAAAATATTATTGTCTCAGTGTATCCCTGTTAGCCTGTCATACCTTTGCGACAGCAGAGGTACTGCATTAAAAAATCCATAATTAGATTTGTCCTAACTATATGCTATGGGAGAGAAATTGCTTTACCATCTATCACAGCAATAGCTAGTCCTACATAAGTAGTCCAGAATGGTGAAGAGAATGAAATTGTCCGTAATAAATGGTGAGCTTCCTTTAAAAGCAATGATCTTCCATTGCTTCTATAAAGGTTATTTTAAAAGTTTTGGAAACCATAGTATTATAGAAGAACCAGTGGGGCATTCTTTCTCTGTAACATTTTTGTGAATAAACTCATTTCTGTAATTATAGAGAATGCATGTAAATTTCAGACAAGACAAAATGTGGTTTTAGAAATTATTTCTATTCATTTGCAGTAAGAGCTGCAGGCTACCACTTAGCTAAAGTGGTTGACATAATGTAAACATAATAATCATGGGTCTCAGTAGTTTGTGAGAGTTCATAATGAACCTGGAAGAAAAGCAACATTTTCATGATATGTCTCTGAAATGGCATGATTTGGGGCAGGCAACTGCATTAATATACATATGATTTGTCACAACTGCAAAAAATGAAGTCTCCTAGGATGTATATTCAGTATAAGGTCCTGAAGATTAAAAAGTGAAGTGTATTTCTTATGTAGTTTAACAGCAAGAACCAGATTCTGCACCTGGTACAGAGCAACCGTGGTTTTGTATGCAGATTGTAGAATGAGATGCAGCAGAGCAGCCCTGCAGAAAGGGACCTGTGGGTCCTGGCAAGTTGAACATGGGTCAGCAGTGCCCTGGCAGCCAGAAGGGCCAACCCTGTCCTGGGGTGCATCAGGCACAGCGTCACAGCTGGGCAAGGGAGGGGATTGTCCTGCCCTGCTCTGAGCTGGGGCAGCCTCACCTCCAGTGCTGGGGGCTGGTTTGGATGTCACAATATAAGATACTAAACTGTTAGAGAGTGTCCAAAGGGCCACAGAGATTGTGAAGGGCCTTGAGGGGAAGATGTATGAGGAGTGGCTCAGGTTACTTTTTCTGCTCAGCCTGGGAAATCTCTTTGTGGCCTTCTACATCCTCAGGAGGGGAAAAGGAAGTACCCATCTCTTCACTCACATGGCCAGTGACAGGACTTTGGGAAATGACATGAAGCTGAGTAGTAGAAGGTTTAAGTTGGACATAAGGAAAGAGATTCTTCACCCAAAGGTTGGTGGGGCATTGTAACAGCAAAGTGGTAACAGCACCAGCCTGTTTGACTTTAGGAAGCATTTGTACAATGCACTCAGGCACATGTTCTGAAATTTGGAATATCCTGCACAGGGACAGCTGTTGGACTAGATGATCCAGATGGGTCCTTTCCAACTCAGCATATTCTATGATTCTATAATAACAGGTCCTTTGTAACAGTTGCATTATGTTGAAGGTGGATGTTTTCTGGATTACTCAGAGCAAAACTACTGAAAGCAACTTTAAGTTTACCCTCCTATCGGCTTGCATTGATCCAAGTGTTATAGCAAGCAAGAAGATGTTCTTGAGATACAATGTTATACATAAAACATATCTTTATTTAATTAGGTGCAAGAGTCCTGAATTAGTAAAAGTGACGTTAAGATCAGTGTATGCTGACATAGAGCATTTTTCCCAGTAAGTCAAACAACAGTGTTAATTATCTTAACTAACCATAGGAATATATTTCTTTCTATGCAAGACTTGGGTGAACACATAGCCTATTGTGTGGTCACCAACGGATCTTCAGATTACTGAAATTAAAGGTTAGTTGTATTGCTTCTGTGTGCCTCAATACTCACTCCTGATTTAAAGGTTATGGATTTCACTCTCATTGACAAGAATGTAATTATAAAAAGGTGCAGTATTTGGAAATGTTAAGATCTCTCTCTTATATTTATCCTTTATTTTTCATACAGTTTGGAGGTTTAAGACTACCAGTACATTAGTTGCATATTTATGAGTCTTTGTTTAATTATGAGATTTTGAGCTGAAGCCTTTGTTTTGCCTGCTGGCCACTTAGTAGTATAAGTTAGAAGAGACGTCTGATTCTATTCTGGGCAAGCAAAACCAAATTTGTGTATAGAACAGGCTGTATCCCTGAATCTTTGATTCCAGGAGTATGGTTAGAGATTCTTAAAAATGTTTTTAATTTTATTTATGAAGATAGAATTTTGGAGAAGTTAATCAGTAGCTGATTCAGATATACTTCAAGGCATAGGCCAGTACCCATGACTGTGATAGCTCGGAAATCATGCAAGCTGCAAGCATTTTGCCTCTCTCCATATTATATAAACATGGATCTTTCCATGTTATGTAAATGCATTTTCCCCATGCAGAAATGTATAACTTGCCTTTTTTATTTGTGTGAAACACCTGAGAAATTAATAGGAATTAATGTCTGAACATATTTTTTTTCTCTCTGTCGTGTCACAGACCAAACAACAGCATTTCTCAAACAAAAATATGCAGAATGTTATATGTTCTAGTTCTTCATAATCTTCTTGCTCCTCCCGAAAATTTTAAATGCCTTCCTCTATGGATATCTCTGCAATTTGGGTGTCCTTTCTTTCTCCTTTTTTTAAAGAAATACAGATTACTTCTCAGATCTTTGGGTCTCATTTTGAGTTTACCTCAGCTTATAACATGCCCCTTTGGTGTACTACAACTAGCTTGAACCTCAATGCTGAAGTCAATAGAATGGTCTTTAGGGAAATAATGATTTGAAGTTCCACATTATGAAATGTCTTTATAGATAGAATTAACGGGTATACTGAGGACAACACATTTAAAACTTCCAGTTTCTAGTTTAATTTCCCCTGTTTGCAAAATAAATTCCTGTACTTCAAATCCTTTTTTATAGTTTTAAGGGTATTAAGCAATTTCTGCATGCAACAGTTGAAGATGCGAAGTTGGAGAATGATGGATTCATCCTGGCTGGATGCCAGGTACCCACCAAAGCTGCTCTCTGCGACCATGTCAGGAGAGAAATTTTAACTGAAGGCTCATGGGTTGAGATAAGGAATGCAAGACATCAGTCACTGATCTCTATCATGGGCAAAACAGACTTGGGGAAATGAGTTGAATTTATTGCCAATAAAAAATCAGAGGAAGAGAAGTAAAACAAATCTCAAAAAACATCTTCCCCCTACCTCTCCCTCCTTTCCTCTTCCTCCTCCCTGTAAGCAATAAAGGGAGATGGGGAGCAGAGGTTACAATCAGTTCATCACACATTGCTCCTGCCGCTGCTCAGGGAGAGGAAGCATTCCCCTGTTCAGTGTGGAATCTCTCC